GTTTCTTTTTCTGCGGCGAGACGGTCCATACCATCTTTCCATCCCAAGGTCTCCGCCTTTATCATATCGACCTCCTCACGAAGCTTCCCAATCACCTCAATCTTCTGCTGTAGCTGTGAGATCAAAATATTAGCCACCGTTCCAGAAGCGAGCCCATAGGTTTTTAAGATTATCATTACCTACTCAGTCAGGTCTGGTCTTGATAAGCCTTGGCCAACTCAGCTCGGAAGTCCTTGATTTATTCTTTCCTTTGTCCGAAGAGGAGTCTAATGGTGTTCCTCTCTACCGTGACCCGTTGGAGGTCTGCTTCGTACCGGTGCAGCTCAGCTCGAGATCGAGAACACGCTTCTCGATGAACTGCTGTGGCTTGCGAAAAAAGAAGAAAAGAAGTTAGAAAAGAAAAACAAACATGAAGGTGGTACCAACGAAGTGAGTTAAGGCTTACCCGATTCAGAGCCTACTGTACTTCGTGGAAAAGACCCAATGCATCACTAGGGCCAGCAGCATCCTCGATACCGGTAAACAGATCATGAAAAGGGTCATCTCCCTTGTGAGGACCATCTACCTTGAGGTCCCCCAAATCTTAGGCCTCTCGAATCGCCCATTCGGAAAAGGCGGGGAGAGTAGGCGAGTCTCCGATTACTATTGCCCCAAGCGATTCGCTTGGGGCGTTCTCCTCGGTCCGGAGAGCTTCAGGATCGTCCCTTTCGGATATACCCACCTGTTGTCGACTTCGATGGGAGGCATCCTCAACCTCCATTAACTCGGGAACTTTGCCTGAATCCTTCTTCGATACCACCTCAGTTCGAGGCGGAGATACACAAACCACCATCGTTCTAGCTGCCTTTGAGGCATCTATGGTTTTCTTCACTCGGGCCACAGTACGGACCCGTCGTCTTCTTCCTCCTCGTCTCCATCCCTTAGACACCGAACTAATTCTTCGATCAAAGGGATGGTATTCTTCCTCGGCTTACGAGGACGACGAGCCGTCCTCGTCTTCGGTTTTGGATCTTCGGAAGTAGAGGCCCTTTTTCTCTTATTATCCTTCACCGATTTTGGAACAAAGGCCGAAGCCTCTTCCTCGCCGGACGGGGGCCTCAAAATCATATCTTTGCCTAGACCTACACACAAGAAAATTTATTAAGTATATGGAAAACACTTCATTCGAAGTATCAAAGATACGAGGAAGAGGCTTACCATGATTTTTGGCCTCCCATCGGCCCTTTGACAAATCATGCCATGAGCGCTCAGCGTATGTAGAGGTCGAAGCCAGGTCCCGTACCCAGTTCTTGAGGTCAGGAACTGCATCGGACATCTAAGGAATCACTGCATCACAAAAGGGGATATCAGTGAGAATGAAATGAAGAGGCAAAACAATATGAGATAACAGTAGAATTATACTTACGCTTCATGTTCCACTCCTCGAGAAATGGCATCTTCTTGGCCGGTATTAGGTCCGAAGACTTCACTCGAACGAACCTACCCATCCAGCCTCGACCCTTGTCCTCGTCTATGCTCGAGAACAGAACCTTGGTGGCCCAGTGCTGAAGTTTTATTAATCCGCCTCGAAAGAGGCGGGGGCTGTACAATCGAATGAGGTGGTCGAGGGTGAAAGACATCCCCTCAATTTTGTTCACAAAGAAACGGATCAAAATAACGATCCGCCAAGAAGAAGGATGGATTTGGCCCAAGGTTATTTGGTATTGACGGAAAAAATCAATGATAACAGGGTCGAGAGGACCTAACGTGAAAGGGTAAGTATACACACCTAAAAACCCTTTCACATGAGTAGTAATATCTTTTTCGGGAGACGGGATTACCACTTCTTTGTTCTCCCAGTTGCAATCTTTCCTTATCTCTTCGAGATGCCCCACAGTTATCGAACATATATACCTTGATACTGGCTCGTATCGGCCAGAAACCGATGAGCCTTTGTCGACCTTAAAATCGGAGGTAATAACACACGCCCCGGGAACACACTCCTTAAGCCGTGGCTCCACCGGTGTTTTGTCGGCGACAGGATGTGAAGAAGAAGCTTTTTCTTTTTGAGGAACAGTTTTTGATGTTTTCACCATTTTGGTTTTGAAGATCGAGAATAGAAGGAGATGACAAAGATGTGGTGTTTTGAAGAAAGGTTTTACAGTGAAAATCACAGAAAGAAGATTTTGCAATAAAAATCACAGGCTTGCGGATAAACTCAAGATGCAAGAAAGAGCTTAGAAAATTTGAAAACTGGAGATGTAAAAGTGATAAATGGTAAAAAGAGAAGCTATTTATAGATTGGGGAATGACGGATCAATATCAGTAGTGGCCGACCACCGTTTGACACGCATTTAATGCCTTGGTAAACTGAACCGACGGGACAACTATCACGTATATAATGGTCGGGCTCGATGCTGACGTCAGTGTATATCTGATCGAGCTATTAAAAAATCATATCGTTTCTCACCACATCCTTCCCGAGAAACGGGGGGACTATCTGTATACGGTCAAAACCGATTTCGGCCTTCGTACGACTAGTCGAGATGGGAACATAATGGATCGAAGAGCGTCGAAGAGCGTCTTCATAATTTTGGTATAAGATTCGAAGCCAGGTTAACGAGCTTCGAGTTTCAGAGACCGATCAATACCGAGTTCGAATCCAAATCGAACCATGATGCGAAGCAACGCTATCGAGTTTGAGAGCCAAAGACCGACCAATGCTGATCCCGAATCAACACCGGGCCTCGATTCAAATTCGAGCTTGAATTAATATCAAGCTCGAGTCAATATCGAGCCTATAGACAAGAGCCGTTACAGCCGCATTAAGGGAGAGAATCTCGACAGAAATTAGGGAAAAACTGATTTATCATGGGTTCCCCACTATGTATTTTTTGTTATATCCAAAGTAGGATCCCTCCACTATAAGAGGGATGGCTATTACTCCTGTAAGGGGGGATCAAGTCACTAATACACTGTAACTCAAATACTGCTGATACATTCCCATATTAATAGATTATCCTTTTGAGCTTCATACATAATTTCATTTTGCTTGTTCATAAATCATCTTCCTTTTAACTCGTTTTATATCTTTTCTTTATAGTCAATATTCGATATTTCTACTTATTCTTATGATTTGTGTCAAGTTATACCACGTACCCTTAGAACTACGTATAAATTCAACTCTATCCGTTTTTCGGGTAAACAATCTTCTCAAATCTAAATGGTATCCATATCTATCCTTAAAATTTGGCTACCACCAATCTGTACTGATCCACTTTCTCCATTATCCAATAGTTTGGCTTAGGTTCTCAGACATCATAGTCATATGTCCTAACAAAGAATTTTGAGCAAAATTAAATCACTAATTGGTTCACTTAGTGGTAAAATTTGGCCGAGAATGGGTGGAACCTCCATGGCTGATGTCAAGTTTGCCGGATTTATTTTTTCATATTCGTGAAACTTGGGACAGTAAAATGATTGGAGTTCTTGTTCACCACCAACAAGGTTCGGAGCATTTTTGAAGGACTTCCCACAGTTGAAGCAAACTGAAATCTGAGATGTCAGTATATCCAAGCAAGAGGAAGAGATCTCTTGGTTCACATCTTCATTTCGAGCACTTTTTACTCCCGATTCATTGGTTGCCGGAGGCAATTTAGAAGAATGGTGGATGTTCGAGTTAGGAGTAAATGGGTTTAGTAGCCGGCTGCGATTCTAGTACTAACATGTGTTGTGTTTGTTGTCTGTAAAGGTTTGCTGTCGGAATAATGGCTTTGGTTGCCGGCGATTTTTGACATTAAAAGTGAAGTTCACCATTTTTTATCTTTTGATTTTGGTGTTGTTTAGCCACGTGTTATTTTTATGGTACTAATTATATACTTAGAGACTAATGAATTCATAAAAGACAGATGGATCTTTTTTTAGGTGGATTTGACACTATTGGATCGAATAAGTTTATAAAAGAACCCGGATGGACTAATTGTATCAGATTGCTGCCACGTGGCACCTCCATTAAAATGGGGGTATTTTTGTTCAATAGTAAGACGGGAGGGATATTTTTGCTCGATTAGTATGACGTAGGGTAGTTTTAAACAATATTCAATAGTAGAGGGATATTTTTGGCTCTTTTCCGTAAATGTCGTTGGTTCCATTCCAATCACCATATTCAACATTTCCTCACTTCAATATCTCAATGTAGGAAAGAATAGGCTATCTGGTACACTTCATGCAGATATGTGCAATTATCTTCCAGATCTTAGAGAGCTTTACCTATTCTATAAGAATTTCACTGGCCAAATCCCACCAAGTTTATATAAATGCTCGGCACTTGAAGTCTTATCATTGAGAGACAACCATTTCTTAGGACCTATACCAAGGGAGTTCGGGAACCTAACTAAGCTTCAGACGCTACGCTTTTCCACAACCCATTTACATGTAAGATAATTAGATGATTTGAAATATTTGATTTGCATGGGAACAATTTAAGAGGGTACGGTTAACTTCTATCAAATGCTTGACAAATTGCAAATTCTTGAAGCAGTTGTGGTTGCACAAATATCCTCTAAATAATGTTCTTCCATCATCTATAGTGCTTGACAAACGGGCGGGTCGGATTGGAAATGGTTCGTGTCGAAAACGGGTAATAAAAAAATGAATAAATTATCCGATCCGACCCATATTTAATACGGATAAAAAACGGGTTAACCGACGGATAATATGGGTAACCATATTATCAATGACTTCTTGAATATGAACACATTTGGGAGAATTCCTAGTCTCCCAAACTTGAGGAATCCCCGATTTGAGGCTTTACAAATGTAAAAGTTAAACCCATTAGTTACTCATTGGTTATCCATTTTCTAAATGGATAATATGTTTCTTATCCATATTTGACCTATTTTTAAAAAGTTCATTATCCAACCCATTTTTTAGTGGGTAATATGGGTGGTTAACTGTGTTCTTTTAACCATTTTGCCACCCCTAAGCGCATCTCTCTACCTCTATTCAAGAAATTATAGCAGATGGTTGTGGAATTGAGAGGTTTAATATCTTTAGACATATCAAGAAATGAATTGGTTGGTCATCTTCCAATTTCAATACAAGGACTAAAGAATCTCCAAGCATTAAACCATGCTGAGAATAGGATAAATGGATCACTTTCAACCAATCTTTGTCTTTTGCAAAGTTTGAGTGAACTGTATTTGAGTAGAAATCAAATAATTGATCCAATATCGGAAGGCTTTGGGAAACTGAATTCTCTAAGAAAGCTTTACTTTGATTATAATAAGGTAATGTTAAGTGTGCCGAGAAGCATTTGGAATCTCAAAGATCTTCTGCTGTTAAACTTATCATCAAACTTGTTGAATGGTTCTCTACATCCAGATATTGGAAATTCAAAGGCTGCAATATTCATAAACTTGTCAAGAAACAATTTCTCAAATGAAATTTCAGTGACAGTCGGAGGCCTATCAAACTTGATCAATTTTTCTTTAGTACATCGTTAGAATAACTGGTAAAGTTGTTGCCATGTGACTAGCAGGTCATGGGTTCAAGTCGTGAAAACGGTCTCCCGTAGAAATGCAGAGCAAGGTTGTCTATAATAGACCCTTGTAGTCCGGTCCTTCCCCGGACCTCATGCATAGCGGGAGTTTAGTGCACCGGGTGCATTTTTTGGTTGTCTTAGACCTTTCTTATTACAATCTCTATGGTCCAATCCCAAAATCACTTGAAGCTCTTCAATATCCCAAATACTTCAATGCTTTCATTCAATGACTTAACAGGCGAGATTCCTTCGGATGGTCCTTTCAAAAATTTCACAAGTCAGTCATTTTTGTCCAAGGAAGGATTATGTGGAGTAAAGGTGTTCAATTTGCAACTAGAAGTTGCATCCAAGAGTTTTGATGCATAATGTGAAATATTGAGAGACCTTCGCCATTGGAATCTCACTAAGGTCATTACTAGCTGTTCCAACAATGATTTCAAAGCTTTGGTATTAGAGTACTTGCCAAATGGGAACATTGAGAAGTGGCTATACTATGACAACCATGCTTTAGGTATAATGCGAAGACTGAATATTATGATATATGTAGCTTACGCATTAGAGTATCTTCTTCATCATGGTTATTTGAAGCCTGTGGTCCATTGTGATGCTAGTAATGTCTTGTTGGATGGAAATTTGGTTGCTCATTTAAGTGATTTTGGAATAGCAAAAATATTTGGTGACAGAGAGAGCATAGCATATACAAAAACCCTTGCAACAATGGGGTATATTGCACCAGGTGAAGCTTCTTTGTTATCTTTCAACAACTTTTCTAGAACAAAATTAATTGTTTGGATTTTTTAACAATTTCTTATTCTTTTTTTAATCATGGTTTAAATATTTGTTTTAGAGTACTATGGAATGGAAGGGTTAGTGTCAACGAAATGCCATGTTTATAGTGTTGAAGTGTATGACTAACTCATCTGGGGCTTTATTCTTTTTTTATGAGCCAAGCACGTAAAAATTCTTTTTGATATTAGTTGGCGCATTACTAGAAAAAAGCCAATTTTCGACCGTCTCGAAATTGGTATTTTTCCGACGGATTTCCGACCGAAAAAGGTCAGTCGGAAAATACGTGGTCGCAAAATATTTGTGACCGAATCAGTCGAAAATTTCCTACGGATTTGGTCACAAACTGAAAAGTAAAGGCACATTTGAATTTAAGTCATTTGCGACCGAATTGGTCGGTAAATTTGCGACTGATTCGGTCGCTAATCAAAATAAAAAAAAAATTAAAAGTTCCGACCAATTCCGTCAGAAAATTAAATAATAAAAATAATTTTTAATTAAATATTGCGACCGAAACAGTCGAACATGTTGAGTATTAAATAATTAAAAATATCAAAAATTCTCAATTTGCAACCAAATCCGTCGCAAATCTAGGTAATTTCTGGTGAAATTTGCGACTGATTCAGTCGCAACTCAGATGCAAATCTGGAAAATTTTTAGCAGAATTCTGCTGTATTTTTAATTACACCACCTGCGAAATAAAACGGCCAACCAAACACCTAACAACCAACTAAACACCTAGTATAACAATCCAAAGCCAATATTTACTATAAAGCGAACAATAATATTTATAACAATCCAACCAACTAATCAAACAACCAATTAATTAAACAACATAAATTAAACATGTCTCTAACTTCAACTCTAAAATATTCAAATAGCTAATCCTAGTCAGACTCAGTCTCCTCCTCAGACTCAGACTCAGACTCCATTGCAGCTTGACTGGCTTTCTTGCTTTTCTTTTTAACAATTTTTGGATCAAAGAGTGAGTTACTTGAAATTCTTGTGACATTTGATCCACTTTTCGATGCATAGCTTCCATGCCTTCTTGGAAAACTGATGCACCAGTGAATAATGTTGCTGGTGGACGACTGGAGGATGGTTGTACTCCAATCCCGTAGACTCGACCTTTATTTATTTTCATGAGAAATAAAGAAAAGACAATAAAAGGAGTAAGAAAACAAACATGTAACTTTCAAACTAATACATATAATTACATAATATCTATACCTTTATTCACGCCACCAGCCGCCTGTGTCCAAATTGTAGCCATATCCTCCGGGGTCGGCTGAGTTTCTTGAGGCTGAGTTTGTCGCCATGCATCAAGATCAATATGATACTTGTTCTGAAATAAAAATAATACACGTTATATAAATAAAATAAACCAAAAGGAAAAAATAATATAGTGTTGGAGTTGGGATCATACAAATGTCTCTGAAGCATGCGGTTCGACCCATCCTTCTCTTGTGCCGTCCTTCTTCTTCTTCTTCTTTAT